AGATCCTGGGTACATACTGGGAGATAGACACTGGGTCCATATAGATTCTGGGTAAATACTGGGAGAGAGATACTGGGTCCATATAGAACCTGGGTAAATACTGGGAGAGAGATACTAGGTCCATATAGATCCTGGGTACATACTGGGAGATAGACACTGGGTCCATATAGATCCCGGGTAAATACTGGGAGAGAGACACTGGGTCCATATAGATCCTGGGTAAATACTGGAAGAGACACTGGGTCCATATAGATCCCGGGTAAATACTGGGAGAGAGACACTGGGTCCATATAGATCCCGGGTAAATACTGGGAGAGAGACACTGGGTCCATATAGATCCTGGGTAAATACTGGGAGAGAGACACTGGGTCCATATAGATCCCGGGTAAATACTGGGAGAGAGACACTGGGTCCATATAGATCCCAGGTAAATACTGGGAGAGAGACACTGGGTCCATATAGATCCCGGGTTAATACTGGGAGAGACACTGGGTCCATATAGATCCCGGGTAAATACTGGGAGAGACACTGGGTCCATATAGATCCCGGGTAAATACTGGGAGAGAGACACTCGGTCCGTATAGATCCCGGTTAAATACTGGGAGAGAGACACTTGGTCCATATAGATCATGGGTAAATACTGGGAGAGAGACACTGGGTCCATATAGATCCCGGGTAAATACTGGGAGAGAGACACTGGGTCCATGTAGATCCCAGGTAAATACTGGGAGAGAGACACTGGGTCCATATAGATCCCGGGTAAATACTGGGAGAGACACTGGGTCCATATAGATCCCGGGTAAATACTGGGAGAGAGACACTGGGTCCATATAGATCCCGGTTAAATACTGGGAGAAAGACACTGGATCCATATAGATCCCGGGTAAATACTGGGAGAGAGACACTGGGTCCATATAGATCCCCGGTAACTACTGAGAGAGAGACACTGGGTCCATATAGATCCCGGTTAAATACTGGGAGAGAGACACTGGGTCCATATAGATCCCGGGTAAATACTGGGAGAGAGACACTGGGTCCATATAGATCCCAGGTAAATACTGGGAGAGAGACACTGGGTCCATATAGATCCCAGGTAAATACTGGGAGAGACACTGGGTCCATATAGATCCCCGGTAAATACTGGGAGAGAGACACTGGGTCCATATAGATCCCGGGTAAATACTGGGAAAGACACTGGGTCCATATAAATCCCATGTAAATACTGGGAGAGAGACACTGGGTCCATATAGATCCTGGGTAAATACTGGGAGAGACACTGGGTCCATATAGATCCCCAGTAAATACTGGAAGAGAGAAACTGGGTCCATATAAATCCCATGTAAATACTGGGAGAGAGACACTGGGTCCATATAGATCCCGGGTAAATACTGGGAGAGACACTGGGTCCATATAGATCCCGGGTAAACACTGGAAGAGAGAAACTGGGTCCATATAGATCCTGGGTAAATACTGGGAGAGAAACACTGGGTCCAAATACGTTACCGGGTAACTACTGAGAGAGAGACACTGGGTCCATATAGATCCCGGGTAAATACTGGGAGAGAGATACTGGGTCCATATAGATCCCGGGTAAATACTGGGAGGGAGACACTGGGTCCATATAGATCCCGGGTAAATACTGGGAAAGACACTGGGTCCATATAGATCCCATGTAAATACTGGGAGAGAGACAATGGGTCCATATAGATCCCGGGTAAATACTGGGAGAGAGATACTGGGTCCATATAGATCCTGGGTCCATATATAGAGAGATACTAGGTCCATATAGATCCTGGGTACATACTGGGACATAGACACTGGGTCCATATAGATTCTGGGTAAATACTGGGAGAGAGATACTGGGTCCATATAGAACCTGGGTAAATACTGGGAGAGAGATACTAGGTCCATATAGATCCTGGGTACATACTGGGAGATAGACACTGGGTCCATATAGATCCCGGGTAAATACTGGGAGAGAGACACTGGGTCCATATAGATCCTGGGTAAATACTGGAAGAGACACTGGGTCCATATAGATCCCGGGTAAATACTGGGAGAGAGACACTGGGTCCATATAGATCCCGGGTAAATACTGGGAGAGAGACACTGGGTCCATATA